AGTCAAAGTGATTATCATCAATGGTCTAGCTATGCAGAAGTTACTCTTCTACTTTTCTGTTTCATTTGTGGTCTTCAAGTATGAAGATGAAATACAAAAATACTTCCATCCCACAACATGATCTGTTTCAACTACACTATCTCAGTGTACCAGATGAAGTAACAATCAGCTTTTGGACAGCCAGACACATTAAACAGCAGCATGCAAGCTAACAATTCCAATGGTTGGTTTTCATGTTTTTTTCCAGTATCAGTTTCCCTAATTAATTTGCATAATTTTCTTAAAGTTTACAAGAGGAAACAAACAGCTCTTAGTTAAAAGCTGGATCCTGTCAGGAGGCTACTGCAAGAAACACATGAATTAAGATATGAATATTACTCACCCGACATGCACATGTCACCTGAACCACAAGGACTCTCCACAGAACTGTAAAGTACATAAGTCTTCAGTAATACCAGAAAACCTTTCTTTCAGAACAAAACTTGGAGAAGAACAAGCAAAATACTAGAGAGGTGATCCAGCACACAAATAACCAAGGGCTACTCTTCTCATTCTTAGCATTTTCTTCTGCTTTATTGTCAGCTTGTGGCAGAGACTTAACTACATTTCAAAATACCACTTACAGGAAAGGGCAATAATAAGGGCAAACTATTAATAAAAAAAATATTTTTAAAATGTTACCATAAACTATCACCCTTCAAAGGCAGATGGTCTGCCTGGTGCTTCTGTGCTCTGCATTCCCAAAGTGACCAGTCTCCACTCATTCTGTTCAGGCCTTTGGTTCAAAGTTCTACAAATAACAATGGATCATGTCTAGAAGTCAAATGATAAAAGTTAGATCACTGCAGCCTACTTAAAATTGTCATCAGTTCTTACAAGGCGGAGTATCCTTGGGCATGTTTTGTTCTCAGTATTTTTCATTTCAATAGTTTTTATGCAGAGTTTTATGACATTAATTTTTTAAGAGGCAGAATTCACTATTTCAGGACTTTCAGCAATAACTTGAGAGTCCTTCTGAAACTAAACAGATAGAAGATTTTTCATCTGAAATGAATTACTACAAATTGCTTTAACTACTCAAGTGTTTAACCTTTCTATACAATTTTAATGAGTTCCATGTATGATCAGAAAACAACAATACGGCTACATCAAATGAGGATCAACTAAGAGACAAAGGAAAGACAGGATGTTTCTCCTCCTTCCTTGAAAGGTTTTCTTTTGTTCTCATTCCTTTAAGTGTTCTTAGTCCATCAGACACAAAAAGCAGAAAACTGGCATGGAGATAATGCCCAGGTCATACATAAGCACTGCTGTAGTCTGCTGCAAAGTACAAAGTGAGTTGACATATCGGGTCTACATCAAAGACATGCCCTTTGGCAGGTTGTAAAGACAAGTTGCAATTTTGTCCATAAAAATGTGTGTTCTACAAAATGGGCTCTGTAACATGAACTGTTAGTGGTATGCCACCATTCCATTGATCCTGCACATGCGTTCATTTCTCAGGAATGCTTGTAAGCTGGGCTATGCCTTGCCCTAAGATAAGCAGACTTGCATGAGGAAAAAAGCAGTGTGTCACAGACAGATTTGACTCTCTGCAGGAGACTTCTTCCGTAAAATGCAAGTTCTGATAGAGGGCATGCCAGTGGCTCCTGCTTTATTGCCTGTATCACATACATGGTATTTACAGTAAGAGATTAATATAATGAGAAACCTTTCCTGCTTATGTTTTAGAAATTAAGAGAACAGCTTGAAAAAACACTGCATTGCGGGAGGTTTTCAAAGACCCCTTAATCAAATACTGAAAATGAGTAAATACAACACTGACAGTTAGTCTGGATCCTCAGCACTTACATATTACAATGTGTTTTAAGATTCCGTAATATATTTTTCTGAAGTACCTCTGCTTTTTTCACTGTGAATATGGGAAACAGAGTGCAGTGAAACAATTCCAGGCTCAAGTCCAGTTTTTGGGCTCCTTTATATCCATAACTATTATATGGTACATTATGAGTTTCAATATAGATTGAATACAGAGACAGGACCATATCAATTTCTGTCATAATTACTGTGAGAGAAGTAGTAACAGAGAATGAGGCAAAAGTGTAGCCACAGAAGGAAGATGATTTTACGACTGTGAAACAGAACTACTACAGAGACGCTGTTGGTATCATAACTACCTCTCCCACAGATTTCCTGAACAGCTTTGAGTAAGGTACTTAATCTTTCCATGTCTCAACTCTGCATGGGTAAAGCAGAGGTCAAAATACTTAACCTCATAGGCATGTTGCAGCTATAGAAACATTTGCATTTGGGAAGCTACTGGGTGCTGCTAATAATAGCTGCGTATGTACAATTGAAACACAAAATAAAAATCTGCTTCAGCACTGTTCAAAAGGTGTACAAAAAATTAAGTACGGCACCTCACAACAAACAAAGAAAATTTAATTAAAATTCTGCAGCTCTAGTGAGTGAACTTAACATAGTTGGGAAACTGGCATGCAAGTACATAATTTAAAGTGTACATTGTAAGCTATGGACATGAACAACGGAGCAATAAAGCAATGCCAGCAATGCTATCTGTATCATTTCATACTTTTTAGCACTTCACTTTGAAAGTCTAATATTGTTGCAATGTAAGGCGTTTATAGAAAATCTACAATTTAAACATCCATACAGTGGCCCGATGCATTAATTCACCCTCTTTTTCCTAAAAATAATTCAGCAGTACACAATTTTACAACATATTGATCTAGGTAAGTCATGAGTCATTTTTTGTGAGTAGATATCAATCACTTCATTGTTTACTCGTCTGTGGAAAGAAATTGATTTAATCAAACCTTGCAGTAATACATTATTGATGTATCACAAGAAAACAAAGTCATAATGAACCATCAGGGTCCTAACATAAAACGCTGTAAGGAGCGGCAATTTCGGCTTCAATCTTTCATTGTGATTTGCAAACATATTACTATATACAAGTAGCAAAGACAAATGCAAGACTGTAATTGGTCTGAGCAGCAGCACATGTCATTCACATAACAGACTTGGGACAAGCTCTGCAGAACTTAGCAACCCCAAGAGGCTGGACAAAACCACACTGTGGACCTTGTGTATCTCCATCGCTTATACACAGCAGCGTATCATCTTACATGCTACTTGAGTTTAGCAAATCGTTACTCTTCTTTGGGGAAATGGGAAGCAATAGGACATCATAAAAATAAGACTCTTAGCCCTTCTCCACAGCAGTGGCTCAGCCTTTGTTCTCCAGAGGCTTTAAACTTTTCCATGTATTAGACCACATGGGAACAGCGATTTTACTCAATACACAATAAATCCCTTTATGCACATTTGTCAAACAAAATACAGCTTACAATGGTAACTGTAGCAGCAGCTTGAAAGATTAAAGTTAGGATAGCAATTTGATGTATTTTATACACTTTTGAATGCATGTTTGTCAGTTTAGAGCACGGAGAAACAAGCACTGTAGCAACATCTGCTGCCAAAACTACTTTGGCAAAGGTGAGTGAGTATTTTACTGCAGTAAAACTTCTGTTACAACCACGAGAAATAAGAGAGTACAGTAGCGACACCATATCACAGCATCTTCACTAGTGCTGCATTATTACAAAATGTTGGGGGATGTATAACAAGCCACATCATAATTTAGCACTGCCCAAGCCTACGAGAGTACCTCGATACAGCTTACAGAGACATCTATAGGTAGTGTCTGTCTAATACCTTATAATTATTTACGTAGGAGAGAGAGGCTGAACTTCCTATCTAGGAATTCATATAATGAGGTGAAAACATTTTTACAAGGAAAGTGCTTCACAAATACACTAAACAAATAATAGTAATAAGACAGCATTACCCACTGCCAGAAACAGATGCAACACTAGTAACGGCATGTCACTTAAACAATTCAATCTGTATCAGAGATGAATAACAGATAAAGTTCATTTAGATACAAAAAAAGCAACGTAGCCAGCAGCCTATCTTTCCAGCTTTGTCATCTTTCTACGCACTCGGCTGGAGCTGAACTAGACCCAACTTTGCAGAAGACACGCAAACGGACGTGTACAACCATACGTGCCGTACAGTGCGTAACTATTCGCTGTAAAATTCCTCGAACAGAGAGAACCCAGACATACTCCGAAACGGGAAAACAACATCAACAATGTACTCTGTTACACTTAGCAAACAGTAATACAGAATCATGAGAACAGATACAGTAGGGTAAGGGAGACAGTTTCTTAATGAAGTGGGAATGGACCGGGTCTCCAGAGCCACGGAGCCTTTCCAGAAGCGGCTTACACTGCCCTAGACATTGCCGGGCTCCGTGGTGGAAGTAGAGAGGGTGAAGCTGAATCCCAGGTCAGAGTTGTCTCTAACGCCCCTCACCCCTGTCCTGTCCCCAATAAAGGGATGGAAAGGCAAATCCCGGCGATTTCACTCTTCTCTAGATTAAAAGGAGGAATTTCCTCGGGATATCTGATGCACGAACTTTGCAGAGATAGACACGATCTCTGGGTAATTACACTCACATACACATGCAGAAAGAAGAAAAGAATAGAGGCATTTCCTCACGCGTACACCGCGGAAGGGACGTAGGTATTTCTCCTCTCCAGGCAGGCGGGGACGGACGGCAGAGCCGCGGGCTGCCCGGACCGCCAGCCCGGCTCAGCCGGGCACACGCACCCGCACCCTCCCGCCGCTCCCGCACGGGCACTCCCGCACTCCTTCCCGCTCCCTCGCACACACGCCCCGGCTCTCACTCCCTCGGTCTCCCCCGCACTCGAAGCCCCTCGCACCCTCTTTCCCCCAGACTCGCTCACACGCTCTCGCTCTCTCTCTGTCTCTCCCCCTCCCATCCCGCCCCACAGTGGCCCCGGCCGCCGGCAACAAAGCGGCGGGCGGGCAGCGCGCCGGGCTGGCGGCGGCGGGACGCGCTCACCCCGCACACGCACACACAAAGCTGCCGCTGCCACCGCGGCACCTACCAGGCGGGCAGCCTCGGCCCAGGTGCGGTCCTTCTTCTTCCTCTTGTCTTTCATGTTTGCATCTCATTGAGGTGGTTCGGGGGGGGGGGGGGGGG